TGATGAAATCAATCATGTTTCTCACCACACCACATTATACATATAGGTTTCACAAATATGAATATATTATAAAGAAACATCAAACAACATAGGATTATTAAAGAATCAATAACATGTCTTTAAAGTTGAAGCATATACACGTTGCTGCAAAAGCAACAAACAACATAGGATTTGATAACTTGATGACATTTCCACCAGACGAACCATCCTTAGTCGATGGCACGGTTCTGCTTCCACCTGGTGAGTCTGCAACTAATAAACATAATATGCAAATTAGAATAACCATATCAGATACGACACTGACACTGACACAGAGATATCGTGACTTACTTTTGCATACACAGAGATATCGTGACTTACTTTTGCATAGACTGACGGGTGGGGTGGACACATTGCAAGCTACAGGCAAAGCAAGAGCTTGAGTTTTATTGACACTGATCCCCAATGATTCTCCACCGCCATCAAGAACTTGACAGAGGCATTGTGATTGTGATCTCACAACATTTGCAAACTGTAAACAGCAGCCTGAAGATGGAGTTGAAGATTTCCCAGTGACGTAGTCGAGGCACGGCGACATACTCACCACCGCATTCGTGCAACTTGATTGTGCAAAACATCTTCCTGCACATAGCAATGTCAGTATAACCAAAACATGAACCATTTTCATTTTTTTTTTGTGATTTTTGGATGGTCGGGAACGTAGGTTTATAAGATTAATTGAATGCGTAGAAAATATTTCACATGAGTCGGTGATGTGGATAACCTAACTTTAGCATGAGGTTGATAGAAATGTGTCATGCAGCTAGGATTAGAGTTTGAAAATTTGACTTAAGACAAGACGAACTACGTGTTCTTAGGATGGATTTCATTTATTTAGTTTGTCTGGAATTCAATGTGAATAGAAGAAATGTTTGGGACGGGAACAATGTGATGTCATGTTTGGATGTATAAGTGAGAGAAACCAATCGATATTGCTATTAATACACTCTTCCTTACATCTACACCGAATTTAGATTGTTTACAATGACTTTACAGTCTCGTGAGATCTGAGCCATTGCAATATATATTAAAATATGAAAGAATAATAATGCTTGACTTGGTTAAGATCTAAATAGGACCAAATCCAGTGAAAATGACAATTGAGACAATTACTATAAGAAAAAGTGAAATTAGTCCCATGAAAAACACTTCGTAAATGTAAATATCATCTTGCAACGTAACTATTGCGGGGTATATCAAACACTCTGCAAAAACGTTATTCGCAATATGTTACAAGAAGAAAATCATGCCGTAAGTTAGTCAGGTGTATTTCGTCTCACAACATTGTCAGATGAAATTCACCTCGCAACCCCTTTCCCAGAATTCAGAGCAGCTAACACACATATCAGAGTAGAGTAGCAGAGTAGAGAAAACAGCAAGAAAGTTACGAGGTGAATTTCACCTGATCAATTTTAAATATACAAAATGTTGCTGAGTGATTTTCACCTGACAAATTTTAAATATACAGAATGTTGCTGAGTGAATTTCATCTCTTCCCCGATAAGTCCTCTCATGAAGCTCTTGCATTAATGAGGTTCTTTCTTTAGTATTAGTCTAATTAATACACATAGAACTTCAATTAGAAATATATCACAATTAAGAAAATAATTTTAAAAAAGTAGTGAGATGAAAATATAATTACCATCCGTTAAGCATGATCAGCAATACTAATGCTTCCAGCTCTGTGATTAACGGCTCGATTTTCTGATGCTCTATGTTGCTTTGCTTCTTCAGATTTTTTCCTTAAACTCATATGTTTTCAAATAAGTAAACATTTCTTTAAATATATTTTCGCCCATCCATGGAGACTTATCCCTCTTTCTTCCCAACCAAGCCTTGCACGCCTAAGCATGTCAGAAAGTCGGGTTGTTGCTCCCTTATTAAAATTACGCTTAGCCATTTCTTCATCTAGTTTGTGCCATGCACACTTCTCCTGTAATGTTGAAAAAATTATTAGATAATTAAAAAACAAGATAGTTAGTAATTAAAAAATTAATTTCTTAAAAAAATATTATACCCGAAATTTGTCAAACCATTTTTTATACTCCTCATAGTCCTTCTTCACAAGTTGTCCAAAAGTCTTCCAAGATTGTTTGTATAACTTTTGAATAACTTCTTTTATGCTAACTGCAGCAAGCCTACCTGGCAAGAAACTAAAAAACAATAATTTGAATAAGTATTAATTAAATTTAAAAAAATGGAAACATGTGTATATCCTTAAAATATAAGAAATAAAATTACGAGTTTCCAACAGGCCGAATAACCTATCTTCCCTCAAACTTATGATGTTGAACTTCCATCGCAACTACATCCACGTCCTTAATGTCCTCTTCCTCCTATTGATCGAGCAATACATGATCATCCTGCTCCTGATGGACTGATGTGGGTACATGTGAGGTGCGTGAGCCCCTAAGGTGATGGGATAACAAGGATCCATATGGAGAATGTGAGGTGCGTGGGCCCCTAGGGTGATGGGATGATAAGGATGCACGGGGGGGATGTGGGATGCGGGATCCCTCGAGCTCGGGCTGATGAGATGATGAGGGTCTAGGTGGGGGAATGGGATTCTAGATACCCCAAACTGCATGTATGGTGGCAGTATGTCTGATGGTGATACATATGTAGGATGGAATGGTGTGGGTATAAAAAATCCTGGTGGACCATCCTGTGAAGTGAGTAGTGAAGTGTAATATCTATGAGATGGAGAAGTGCTCATAGACTAAGGCATAATCTGCTAAGCCCCCTGACTAAACTGAGGCGTAGTCTGCTGAGCCCCTTGACTAGACTGAGGCGTAGTCTGCTAAGCCCCCTGACTAGACTGAGGCAAAGGATAATACATGGAAGATTGAGGCACCTCAACTACATGTATCCTCGTCTGATGGCCTTTCTCACCCTTACCTATATCCTCAGGACGGGGTGACATTTTACCTAATTAAAAGAAAAAAAAATGTTTATAAAATATCAATAAGTAATATGTTGACACTGTATTAGACCCATCATTCAAATACACAATATGTATTATTTAGTTTTAACATATTAAAGGCATGTTAACAATATTTTAAAAAATGATCTATTCAAATTGTGTATCCTCAAAATCTTCATTACCTTCATTTGATTCAAAATTATCTTCGAATTCTGACTCTTCATCATCTCCATCCACATTATTTACTGACAACAATATAGACGCATCAACTTGCTGACCCTCAACCTCGTTATCATACAAACTTGTAAGTTGTTGAACTTCAATCACATGATTAGTTTGTGAAATTTCATAGACTTGATAAGCAAGGTCTTCCATAAGTTCATTAGTTTCAATATGACCTATTGGTTTTGACTTGATTGCAACACACCAATCTTGCTTACCTCGTTGAATTGAAGGATAAGGGACGTAATAAACTTGCTTGACAAGATGTGCCATAATGAAATGATCATAATTTTTGTACCTTCGGTCTATTTTAATCTCTACAATGTTATATTTTTTATTTATTTTTGTGCCTCTAGCAGATGGATCATACCAATTACAATAAAACAAGACAACTTTGTTTTCTGAGTCCAAATAATTGTATTCCAACTTGTAAATATGCGTAATAACTCCATAGAAATCGTCTTCACCACCATTTGTAACTCCTTTTACAAATACACCACTATTTATAGTTTTCTTTCCTTCTGTCCATTCATCAGTGTGAAATTTATATCCATTTACAAAGTATGTGTGCCATATGCTCACATGTTTAACAGGGCCTACAGACAAGTTTCTCAAATGGAGTAATTGTGGAGACGATTCAACATTACATGCCAATTGTTGCTTGAACCATGATGGAAAATAAGCATGTATGTCAATGGTTATTGCTTGTTCACTGGTGAGTTCATAATAGTAGTTATTAAATGACCTATATCGAAACACATTAAAAGTAAGTTAGAAGGTAAGAAGTTTATATCCAATGTGTTAAAAATAAATATTCACTTGGTATAATTACTCAATGTATGCTTTAACTTCAACGCAATTAATCAATACATGAACATGAGCAGATTGCAATTCCTTTTCGGTCAGCCAGTGCACATTCGTCTTTCTAGAACTCCGACCAGGAAGACCAAAGATTGATAAGGTGAATTGACTTCTTTCTGTAACATTAACTTCATTCATTATGATTCTTGGAATTAACATCATGTGATTAAAATAATGAGAGAAAAAATGTGATGTTTCTCGATGCAAATAATATGCCCAATTGAACCCTCAACTTTAGCCTTATTTTTCACTAATCTCTTTGAATCACCCATGAATCTTTCAAAAGGATACATCCACCTATACTGAACAGGTCCACTAAGAAAAGCTTCATATGCAAGATGCAGAGGAAGATGTTCTATTGAATAAAAAAAACCAGGTGGAAAATTTGTTCCGACTTGCATAGAATGAGAGGAATGTCTTGGTCCAACTTAATGATGATGCACAAACATCTTTAAAAAATTGATTAATTTCAGTTAGTGGATTAAGCACTTGTGTTGGCAATGAGCTAAAGGAAATTGGAAGCAAATCGTTCCATGAAAACATTACAATCATGCCTTGTCATTCCATTCAACTTCCCAGTGTTGGCGTTAACACACCTTGACAAGTTAGAAGCATAACCATCAGGCATTCCCAATTCAGTTAACCATCGGCAAACAAGCTTGGCTTCTTGGGGAGTTAGACTATAAGTAGCTTTAGGTTTTAATAGTTTTCCATTAAGTAAAGTCTTCAACTCTAAATCTTTTCGATTACACATCAGTTCCATGTCCTTTCTAGCATTCTCATTATCTTTTGTCTTGCCTTGGACATCCATCACTGTGTTAAATACATTATCGAAAGAATTCTTCTCTATGTGCATAACGTCAAGATTATGTCACAATAAATTATCTTTCCAATATGGGAGGTCCCAAAAAATACTTCTTTTAGTACAATTGTGTTTGTCCCCATATCCTGGGATTCAGATCGCTTTTCCATTGTTAGTGGATTTTGGTAGATCACGGACCATGTTCCATAATTCAATTGATGACAAGTGACGAGGAGGCAGATCTGTTACTTTTAAACCTTTTCTAAAATCATTCTTATTTTTTCTAAGTCCATGGTTTTCTGGTAGGAATCTACGGTGACAGTCAAACCATGAATTTTTCCCTCCTTTTTCCAATGTAAACGCCTTAGTGTCATCCATGCAATAAGGACATCCCATTTTACCATGTGTACCCCAACCAGACAACATGACATATGCAAGAAAGTCATTAATAGTCCACATAAAAGAAGCTCCCATATTGAAGTTTTGTTTACAAGATATGTCATAAGTACATTCTCCAATCCACAATCTCTTTAAATCATCAATTAAAGGTTGTAAATACACATCAATTCCTGCTTTTGGACTCGACAACCCTGGAATGAGGCAAGTCAAAAACATGTAAGGCTTTGCAATGCACATCTCAGGGAGGGAGGGGTTGTAAGGGGTAATAATAATCAGTTAACAAGAATATCCAGTTCCCGATGATTGGACATATGGAGTAAAACCATCAGAGCACAATCCGAGTCTGACATTTCTAGGTTCTGCAGCAAAATAAGACGTATTTGATCAAAGTGCTTCCATGCCTCGCCATCAGATGAATGTCTCATAGTGCCTGGACTTGTTTTGTTTGTATGATGCCATATCATTTGAATTTCATTGTGCATTGAAGTAAACATTCTCTGCAACCTTGGTATTATCGACAGATAAAACATTGATTTCACTGCTATGCGTTTTTTATTATGATCAATGGCTTTAGTGTGAACTACATATCTTGGACTATTACAAAACTTACATTCCTATAATGCGGCATCGTTTGCACCAAACTCATTGTCATAGAACAACATGCAACCTCTAATGCAACAACCAATCTTCCTTACTTCTAAACCCAACTTCGTAACCAACCACTTCATGTCATAATAACTTCTAGGAAAATTGTGATTCGTAGGAGTCACATCCAACATCATTTGAGAAATGAATTCTAAACACTAATCAGGAAAGTTCTAGTTTGACCTCACGACCAATAATCTCAGACACATAGATAATTTAGAGTCTGACGAACCCTCAAATAATGGAATGTTTATTTATTTCAACAACTGATAAAATTTTTGAGCTTTCTCATTCGACAACTCTTCCCCATCACTATCTTATTATTCAGCGTAGACCATGTTCACCCCTAAAGTATCGCGAATCATATCATCGTGTAGATTAAATTTTTCTTCATATTCCATCTGTAATCGGCTACTTGAACCCTATTGTAAATTACTAGTCTCTAGCATATTCATCGACATGTATTCCCTGGATGGGCTGAAGACCGTCTTAGAATCTCGTGATTGATCATGGATCTTAACTTATGTATGTATGCATGTTTAATTTGTGAAGGTATTCCATGTCGGATGGAAATACGATGCAAATGTTGACGCGCTGAGATGCAAGTGTTAGGGAAGTATATGATTTTGGTTTATGCATACGATGCTTATGATAATGAATATGGTGTATGCAGATATGTGATTTGATAGATTGTATGAGGGTGCCAACATGGTGGACTTTTATTTGGTAGTTGCCAATGCAGATTGAACTTTAGGTGGTGGGAGGGTTCTAACTTCTCGACACTAGATCTTTGATGATGTCTTGACCAAAGGCAGGCGAAGATGCTCTCGACGCCCCAAGTTTGATCACTTACTGATAAGTAGTGTGCCCATTTCTGATAGAACCACAACTTTTATGCCTGAGGGTTAGGATGGCCTGAAAATGAGCGTAGCGACATGATCAACTCATGAAGATTGTGCTTTTTCTCTAAACTTAATGGTTGCTAGCGTCTGGCAAGATCTGCTTGACTAGTTTGAAAGTACATAGAGGACTTTCCCTATTGAAACTTTCCTTGCCCTAGTCTGTTGGGTTCTTGAAAGAATTATCCTTTTGAACGAAAGTCTCTGGAGTTACCATAACATGATTTTCCCCAGTGTCAGAACATGGTAATGGTATGCACCTGAGTAACCAATTCTTGAAATGGTATGATCTTTGAGCTTTGACGTGTTCTTGATACGACTTGCCCCTGATTAAGCTATTGAGGGGTTCGCCCCAGATTAAGGGTTTTGAGGTATCCTTGATTTGAGTCAGCACCACTGAAAGTTCAAGTTCCCCTTTGATTGCCCCTTGTCGGAATTTCCTTGATGTCGAGCATTGGTTTGTAGTTAAAATTGTTCTTTCACAAATGGTAATTTTAATGCAATGCTCATGCAAGTTTTGAAAAAGTTTTTTATTGGAATGTTGTGATAGTGTGAGACGAATGTACCAGTAGTCCAAACGTAGTGATGATTTAGCTAGTGCGTGAAAGATATAGCAAGGAGAATGACACCAATGCTGAAGATTAGCAAATTAGTGGGGAGTCAGTTCATACAATCTTGCATCAATATGCTTTCAGAATAAACTCTTCCTCAATTAGGTCTTTAGAGGGTTGTAACGCGGTTTAGTTCACGGTTTATGAAACAAAGGATATAAGACTCAAAGCTTGGTTTGTACCCACCCCTTCTTCATGATGAACTCCAGTTCTACGTTCAATTAATTCTACACATATTCTTCTTCCAAAAGGGTTAACGATGTAAGTGTGATGATTCAAGACTTTTGAAATGACAGTCGCCTTATTTTGTTTTTGATGGATATCAGTGACCCTTTGATTTTGAAATGGTGGTCACTGAATCTGGTTTTGTTTTTATTGAGGATTTGAGGACCTCTTTTGATTTTTCTTTTGATCCTTAACTTTTTCCTTGACTGATTTTGTATTTTGAATCCATCGGGATTGTCTAGAGTTTTGCCTAAGTCCTCTTTTGAGGTGTTCGACTTGGCAAGCTTTTCTTTTTTTGATTTTTGCTGAAGGCTTGTGACTGTGAAGTCAGTGATTATTGAAGAGCAACCAACATGCCTTTTGGATTTTCCCTTGTGATTTGAGTGCGAACTTAAATTAACTGGACACTATCCATGCCCCAGGTTAAGCCTAAGGGTTTGTAGATCCGAAGGAAACTCCTACTTCTAGGCTCGAAGTGGTTAACTCTTTGTCTCTCCAGTGTTTGAGGAATTTGAAACAATGCCCGTACATCATCAACAGGATTGTATCCGAAAGCATGCAGTTTGCAATTAATGGTATTTCGTTTTCACCATCCTCCCTCAAATCTTTGCTAAAATAACAATTTGATAAAGAGAGTAAAGTGGAGAAATATGTGTGTATGTACTTTGCAGTAAATGAGAAAAATGAGTGAATACGACATAACTATTGCATAATCACTTCATTAATAAAACCAAATACAAACAACAATGTTTAAGGCAAACACTACTTGAACACACAAGAACAAAATACAAGAATGCAAAATGAGGGGATGGCATGATGACTAACTTCTTCAGGGAAATGAACTTCCTTTTTTATTTTCTACTGAGCTAGCTTGGTGGCGGCATGGGGTTGGTCGTGACATTTGGAGTCCTCAGAGTGAATGTGAGAGCCTTGGAATCAACCAAGTCTTGAACCTTGTGCTTTAAAGCTCTACAATTCTTGATCGTGTGCCCTGGGGCGCCCTTATGATACTCACAGTGATCATTGGCATCACAATCTGGAGGGATGACAGTTGGAGGAGCTAGGTCTCTCAAGGTAATCGACCCATCCTTAAGTAGAAAAGGATAGATATGAGCATATGTCACAGGAAGAGGATCAAAGTTTCTTTCTGGCCTCCTCATCCTTTGCTGATTATGTTGACGCTGCTGTGGAGCGTGTTAAGGTAAACCTCGTTGCCGAGGAGCATGTTGTAGAGGTATCTGAGTAGGAATCTAAGTTGGAACAACTTACTGATAAGGCATTGGAGCATATTTCGCAGCTGCAACACACAGATACTTGAAGTAAGGGATTGGAGCAGGCGCTGAAGCAGGCTCTCTCTGTTATGCTTGTCCCCTCTGAGAAAAGATAGCATTTGTTTTTCCCTCATTTTCCTTGTATCCATTTAAAGGCTTCTTCGCTTCATTCAGGTTGCTAGAACCTCCTTGGATCTTTATGCTGTTTAGATTTTCTTCAATTCTTTCACCGATAATCACCATGTCAGAGAATCCAGAAGACACATTGCTGATCAACTTTTCATAGTATTGCCCTTGCAAAGTAACCATGAAGATGTCAATCAATTCACGGTTAACAAGTGATGGATGCACTCTTTGAGCTAACTCCCTCCAGCGTTGTGCGTACTTCTTAAAGGATTCACCGTGTTTTTGAGCCATACTCTAAAGTTGAGTACGATTTAGGGCAAGGTCAGTGTTGTATTTGTATTGCTTGATAAAAGCTTCAGCCAACTCAGCCCAAATGCGTACACTGTTATGCTAAAGTTGCATGTACCATTCTAGAGATGCCCTAGACAAGCTATCTTGGAAGCAATGGATCATAAGCTTTTCATCCTTGGTATAGGCAGCCATCTTTCAGTAGTACATCTTCAAATGAATGTTAGGACAACTAAGGCCCTTATACTTCTGGAATTCAGGAACCTTGAACATGGGAGGAATCACAAGATCTAGAACCAAGCACATTTCTAAGGCATTCAAGGAAGTTGAGTTATGCCCTTCCATGACTCAGAGTTTTCCAGCTAAATTAAGACACATCTTGATGGCTTTAGAGTCCTGAGCAGCAGCAGGATTGGAAAATCGAAACAACAATATGATAGTTTTGTATCTCATACTCATCTTGCAGATCCTTTTCAGCATGAGGAATGAGAATCTAAGTTACAACAGGTTGAACTTGCGGGAGATCTCCCACAGTGACTCAAAATATTGATATTGGTTGAGTAGTGGCTCCTTCAACTATAGAAGTGAAGTTTAGAGGCATCCCATAGATGATGAGGTTGGGAACAGGAACTGAAAGCCTTGAGTATGAAGCAGATCCTTGCACATAAACATTATTATTTACGGCAACGACATTACACAGTTCATCTTCGTTTCTGACCATAACAGTTATGCCCTCAAAATTTTGATCAATCTTGCCCTTGATAGGGTCCAAATCCTCACTAAAAGGGGCTTACTCTTGTTGAATCCGATCTATCATTCGTCTAGTGTTGGCTCGAGTTGCATACCGGTGTCGAGGAATCAACTTGATTTATTAGAGATGAAGGAATGTGAAATGAGTTTCTAATTTTAGAATGAAATGCAAGATGTATAATTGATGTAATGCAATGTCATGAAATGTATGGATGCAATGCAAGATGTAAGATTCCAGGATAATAGGTTCAATCAATTTTGAGGTTGGTCAAAGTAACAGGTAAATAACTAGTGTCTCTGATCAAAGGAACCTTAAGTTCTAAAACGGGTAGGTACCCAAAGTCATGGATCTTTTCAAATAAATTATGGCCATGAAGAAGGCTCATTATATGATAATATCCTTGAAACGATCTCTTCTAGGT